CGGGGCGTTGTGCGGAGCTCAGCAGACCGTGCGCGGCGCTAGGCGTCGTCCCAACCCCTCTGTCTGCTGCTGGCGATGTGCGCCGCGATGCCAGTCGTACCCCTACATCTCCTTATCCCCTATTCCGTCTCCTAGACCGGGGGCGGGGCGGGGCGGGGCGGGGCTGCGTGTGCATAATGGAACCGGGGAGCTGCAGCTTTGGCTCACAAAGCCCCGCGGATAGCAGAGCAGGACCAGGCCGGCTGAGGAGGGCGGGACATAGAGAAAAGGAGAGCGAGAGAGAGACAGAGACAGGGTGAGCGAGAGAGGGAGAGAGCGAGAGAGACAGATAAAGACGGAGAGAGAGAGAGAACGGGGAGAGGAGAGGTCCCCGTTGACTGGTTGCGGTCGAGCGCAGGCCGCGCAGGGCGCAGGCCCAGCCGGCAGCAGCGGCCGCGGCGGCCTTCCCTTCCGATTGCAATCAGCTTAGAGAGTCCATAGCTCCCCCCGCGTCCCTTCCCGTCTCTTTTTTGCGGCCGACGTAGCGCTGCGCGCCACGACGCCAGCCTCCTCGTTGAGGTAATTGAAATGCCCAGGGTTCTTATCAGCGAAGAGAAAGACAGAGAGGGAGAGAGACTAAGCGAGAGAGAGAGAGAGACTAAGAGAGAGAGAGAGACTAAGAGAGAGAGACAGAAAGAGAGAGAGAGAGAGAGAGAGAGAGAGAGAGAGGGGGGGGGGATAGACTGATAGAGAGACAGAGAGGGGGCGAGAGAGTGTAGAAAGGTCAGCCCGTCAAGAACCAAACTTGCCATTCACGCCAAAGTACGGGCGCCGGCGCTCGCGAGGAGGTAATGCGGATCGTAAAGTGGAATCGAGATGATGTCTGGGCGCGGGTGCGGGCTCGGGGGCGGCGGGGGTGGCGGTCTCAAACAGCGCCGCCGCCGCGCCGCGCGTCCTCCTGCCCTCCGCCAAGTAGAGTGGAAAGCCAATTGTCCTGGAATGGCGCCGCATTATGTGGCATTGTGCGAATCCCTCACAACGTTTGAAACTTTTATGCGGCGCGGTGGTGGCGGTGGCGACCCTGCCGGGGTGCCCGCCCTCCCTCCTGCAGCGCGCGCCGCCGCGCCCCCGCGGCCTCCATTGTGAGGCCCTGGAATTGGACTCTCGACGTGGACAAGGGGGCAAGAATAGGGGCGAAGGAATGAATGGGTTATCTTGACTGATGCGCCCTCTGCGGGGCGGGAGGCCGCGCCAGCGTCCGACCCGCCCTCCCGGACGGGGGCCCGGCCTCGCCTGCTCGCTCGCCTCTGCTCTCCCCCTGACGACGACGCAGACACTGGACATTTTTGATATTATCTCCCCTGCCCATCTCACTGTCTCTCTTTTCATCCCCGCTCGTCCTTTCACCCCCCACGTCCCTGGCTGTCTAGCTCCCTTTTCAATCCTCTCTCCTTCCCTCCCCTCCCCCCAATCCCCACCGAGCCGCCGGGCCGCGCGGCCAAGCTCCCGTGGAAGTACCCCCTTCCCCCCTTGCAACTCACCTCGGGGCTTTTCTTCAAGGACCTCTTGGCGACCTGCCACTCGCTCTGCAACCCGAGCACCTGCAACAAAAGCAAAGGGAGGGTCAGCTCAGCTCCGCCGTGCACTCCAGCAAGCGGAGAGGGGGACCCGGGTGGAAGGATCTACACTTTTGACTGCATCAGTTTTCTAAGTTTTTTCCCAACTTATAATGCAGATAGAGTGCATGCGAGTCTTAGTCACAAGTAGGGTTTCAAGTGTGTCTATATGGTAGTTTCAGTGTTCTGAAACTCCAGTTAAAGTTCAGAAAAACATGCTTAAACTG